GGTTGCCGGGCTGGGGAGAACGTCACGCCAGTTTGCGAGTCCGTAGCCACTTCCATGTAATTCAGATTTTGGCAGAATAAGCTATGCAGCCAGAAACAGCTGTACAAAGCTCGAGAATGGCGGTGTCCACTCAGCTGTAATTCTGAAACGTTCTTATTGTTGAGCACTCCACCACACCCTTCCTTTAACTTAAATGCGCTTCAACACCGGCACAAAAACCATTTTTCTGTGTAGGTGAAAGTTATCTTTCGAAACAGCTATTAAAGACTGGTTACGCTAAGATGGAGGGTTTCAAACTTTTCCCTTCATTAGGCCATGTTTTTTTCAAACATTCCCGTGGGATTTGCAGCCTCCTGCCCTCTGTGCCCCAGCCCTGCAGGGAGACATTACACCGAGCCCTTCCAACACCTTCCGATGCCCCATGCCCGGAGCTCCATGCCCGCGTCTCCCCTCAGCTCTGGGGTTCAGCGGCCGCCAGATGCTTTGACTTCTGCTGAGCAGCTGGAAGACGAGGAAGGTGGCCAGCGCCACCAAATCTCTGAATTCGCCCCTCGGTTGTGAACACGAGCCAGCAGTGTGCCCAGGTGGCCAAGAAGGCCAATGGCATCCTGGCTTGGATCAGGAATGGTGTGGCCAGCAGGAGTAGGGAGGGGATCGTGCCCCTGTACTTGGCACTGGTGGGGCCGCACCTGGAGTACAGTGTTCAGTTTTGGGCCCATCAGTACAGGAAGGTCAGTGAGTTGCTGGAGCGTGTCCAGAGAAGGTCAACAAAGCTGGGGAAGGGTCTAGAGAACAAGTCTTACAAGGAGCAGCTAAGGGAGCTGTGGCTGTTTAGTCTGGAGATTGGAACAGACATGGTGGAGTCCCCATCCCTGGAGGTGTTCAAAAAACTTGTAGATCTGGCACTTCGGGATATGGTTTAGCAGGCATGGTGGTGTTGGGGTGATGGTTGGACTTGATGATCTTAGAAGTCTTTTCCAACCTTAGTGATTCTGTGGTTCTATGGTAAGTCCTGGTGCTTGCAGAGGGCTCTGGCCAGCACCTGGGCCAATGGGGAAGCGTCTCCGTGGGGCCGCAGTCTGTGCAGGCAACGCGGGCTGCATCCCGAGGGATGCTGGAGGGCTCATCCATCGAGTCCTGGCCGGTCACGCCGTTTACATGGCCACCAAGCTCATGGATGAAAATGGTCTAGCTTATTTCGGTGGGAAATTGCTGCCATTTGCACCGCACCGTGCTTGGAAGTGGGTTTTTCCCAGGAGGGCTCCAGAAAGCCCAAACCGCGCTGAACCCTGGCACCCATGACGATGCGCCTGGCTTCTGTGCAAGCAGCTGATGTGACGGTAGCAAGGTGGGCTTGGAGAAGCGGGTCTGCGGAGAGCGTCCGAGGCGCACCTCTCTCCTTAGAAGAGCCAAATGGTTTGTCATGTCCGTTTGCTAGTGTGAATTACATGGCCCTGGATGGGTGTTCAAAAGGTTAAATGCTGAAATAGGTCTGGAAAAAAGGACTGCGTATACAAGCTACAGTATCTCGTGTGATGTATTTAACATCCCTAATTTACATGCTGACAACTTTGCCATTTCTAAAGAATGTTATCATTCATCTTTCTGATGATTAATCAGCACAAGCTTCAGACACTGTTTATCACACTTTGATGCAGCAATCAAACAAGAAAGGCAAGGTGTTACAGAGGTGGGGTGTTTTTTTTCCAAAATCTTACAGTATTTACAAAAAGATGCGTATTTTTTTTCTAACAGCATTCTTAGAATTATTCACTCATTCACAAGCAGCCATCGCACAAAAACATCATTCAGAAATAGGTTTTAAAACACAGCCACCTCCGTTGCGTAGCATACAGAAAAACAGGCTAGAGCCCAGACACGTGGTTTTTGAATGAGAATGGGAACTGATTCGGAGGTGCCACATTTCCGAGGAAGAAAGGTGCACTTCTCGAAACATCATCAGCTGCAGTTCTCCTGGAGCTAATCAGCTGCTTGTCGGTCTGCTGCCACATTTCCCTTTTACAGCTCAAGTATCTTGTGAGGTGTATTGCTGTAAACGCAATGCTGGCATTAAGCTCCAACAAATCATGCTGGCATTGAAAGACTTGTTCGCCTGTGGACACTGACAAGAACGAGTTACACAAAGTGCTCCCAGGGATCGACGTTGGCTTCACGTGTCGTGAGCAACTCAGTGGACCCGAGTTGTTATTTCCAGTTTCTGCTTTTATAATCAAGTATCACCCTTATGCTTTTAGAATCTTTACTCCTGTAGAAGGACCTTGGGTTGGCTGTAAGAGTTCAATGGCAGGCTGCACAGGGCTCAGCAGGCACTCACCGTGTCTATCCTGTTGATTTTCCAGCAAAACTTGGGTAATTTAGTCATTTGGTTATCTGGTGTACTGATCATTTTTTCGCTTTAAAAATGTGCTCCAGTGAATTCATTGAGCCTGGTCCATTAAGGAGCAACAGGGAACTCCGAACAATAGGTGCTTGTTTCACAGCTACGACAAACGCTTCGAAGGCACTAAATTGCCTTTTATACTGAACAGTCTCATAACAAAGACTGATTTTCTCCCTTTTTTTTCCCAATTAATTTGATGGTTCACTTGAGCTTTAAAAACACATTACATAAATCTTTACAGCTATTACAGAAGTCTTTTGTCAAGTTTAATTTGGTGTTTATTTATATTTTTTTTTCCACAGTGTAATGATTCACCCTTAAACTCGCTGTACCACACACACCCGGATCGTGCGTGACACTGGATCCATAGGAAGAAGAAGTCCTAGAGGTTTGTTTCGCATGGGGAAGGACACAAATCCTTCCAAAGGCAGTTTGTCACAGAAAGCTCCCGGTTCAGAGGTATATCAGAAAAAGCGCTGAGCACTCCTGAAGGCGCTGCCGGCGGCCACAGCCTCCCGAAGAGGAAAGGACACTTTGGAGGATCAGACCCTTACCGCCCTGTCCTAGACGAGCTTATTTCACAGTAGAAATTTAACGATGCAAAAAGAGCACCTCTCTAATGACCCACCGTGGCATGCAGGCATCCATCCATCCATCCATCCATCCATCCATCCATCCATCCATCCCGGTGCGTAGCACCAAGGACTGGGACAACCAGATGGTTTAACGATTACGTGAAGTGAATCTTCTGAGCTAACAGACCGTGGTGGTGGCTTTGCTGCCAGCCCTGTGTTAAGCATCGTCCCGAGGTGGATCTGTGGCTGCGCTGGAGTGAATGAGTAGGGCAAAATCAAGTTTTTGAAGGATTTAATGTATCTGCCATGTTGATGTTTTCGGGGTTACATCATCAATTTGGCTTAACCTTCAGAGGCGTTACCTCCGACAACAGCTCCAACCTCTCCTGTGACCTAACTTCACTGTTACAACTTTCTTTGGGCTTGGTAGCCTGTGGTGGAAATATTAGCTAGGATCACCTGAGAGGGTGGGAGCGGAGACCGTGTAGACCTCTCTAGGGGAATATGCTGCTCACCAGGCAGAGGTGCAGAGAGCAAGAGCTGCTAGAAAACCAGTAAGTGTTGAGAAACCTTCAGGCATGCAGTTGGGTACAAAAACCCTGTGCCTGAGCAGATGCTATCATCATCACCAGGAAAAGCAGAGAGGCTGTTCAGTGCCAGGCTTCCTCATCCTACTTTCTCCTGACCCCTGTGAGTCCAGATGCCTTTTCACTTTCCTCCTGGTTCTGAAACGGAGGATTTCTACTGCTCTCCCCTTTCCCAGCCCCCCCCGCCATGAGGAAAGCCCGTGAAAGGGTTCACTTTGGGGAAAATGAAGAAGGAAAAGCTGGGAGAAAGAAGATGCTCTCACTGCTCTCCTGCCGATCCACCTCTCCCGGCATTACGATCGCTTGGCAAAGAGCATGGCTCTTTGAAGCACGTGTTGGCATAGACCAGGCTTGGCTGGCACCGTGAGGAGATGGTGGGGCTCTGCTGAAGGTGAAAGAGTAAACCAGAAAGAACACAAATGTGCAGAGGTCTATGTCCACCCCTAAGCTTCTCGGCACCAGGAGCCGGGGTTAGCCTCTCAGCGACAGATGCTGGAGTAAGATGTGTTTGATGCTTGGAGATCTCCACCTGCGCCCACGAGAAGATTGTGCGGATGAAGCTGGCTGGGGTTCTGCTCTCGTTACCAGGGCTGTAAGCCCAGAGCAGCAACACCGACTTCCCTGGCTGCGTTTAGAGCAGCACAAAACCTGGCTTCGTGTCACAACCGCTGTAAGAGCAGGACGGGTCAGAGTCGCGCCTGGTGGAGCACGATGAGGGGGCAGGGGGGCAGCACTCTATTAATGAAGTTATTATTCAAATGAAGAACTTGAACAAAAACAGAGAAGGCTGGAGTTGCTGTTGAGGCCGACGGAGAAGGATCACAGCAAGGCGATGTGCTTGGCGAGCAGGGGGAGCAGAGCCAGGGCCAGGGAGCAGCTGCGGCGCGGTGCCGAGGGGGCCGCGTTCCGGAGCATGCACTCCACCCTGGACCAGGAGCCGTTGTTGGGCAGCGGCTGGACGCCCGCCCACATGACGTTGTAAACATCCACGGATCTGATGGGCGGCGCGCGGAAGCTGGGTCGGAAATCTGCGGGGAAACAGAGAGGAGTCGGCGTCGCACGGCTCGGGGCTCGGCCCCCGAAACACGGGCAGCACAGCTCAGCAAAAATGTTTTAAATGCTCTAATTCATTGGTTTTACTTCCAGCCTTTTTTTATTCTAAAAACTGAAAAAGGAAAATCAATTAAATTATTAAGTACGGGAGCTACTTTCCGCTGATGAGGTGGAAATCGGGGCTTCCGCGTCTGCCTGTCGGACGGGTGGGAGAGGTCTGCTGCAGCCTTCCCAGAGAACGAGCTCTGTGCTAGCGAGTCCGACTCCACCAACGAAAGGAGAATTCACGTGTTCCAAACAGAATTAAACATTTGGGCCAGCCTTGGAAAATAGGGCAAAAAGGATAGAGTTACTGTGCTGGGACGTTGGAGAGGGGCTGACCAACTCCCTTCGTGTCTCTCTGCTCTGTTTCTCCAGCTATAAAACAGATACAGAGTGAGAAACCTTCCCAGCATCCAGCCGTGGTGAGGAAATCCTGCCATTCATTCGTAATTTTAGGTCGCCGCAGAGTGCCACATCAGGGTGGGCACGCCAGGGCTGCAGGGACGCTGGGGCAGGGGCCGTGGGGCCGCGAGGGGACCGCGACACCAGGGGTGGTGGCATCGTACCTGGCCCGTATGCGATGAAGAAGGCTCTCATGTCCATGAGCTCATTGTCGTAGCCGTGCCAGCCATTCTGCCAGGCTTCCTTCCTCCCCGTCCCGTTCTCCCAGAAGGGCAGCTTGTCCCTGCTCTGGGTGACAACAGCAGAGTACGGTTAGTGCCTGGCTGCTGTACCACCCCATCAGGCCACGCATCATAGAATCACAGAATCATAGCGTGGTTTGGGTTGGAAGGGACATTCAGAGGTCATCTAGTCCAACCCCCCTGCAGTGAGCAGGGACATCAACTGGACCAGGGTGCTCAGAACCCTGTCCAACCTGGCCGTGAATGTTTCCAGGGATGGGGCATCAACTGCCTCCCTGGGCAACCTGGGCCAGGGTTTCACCACCCTCACTGTAAAAAATTTCTTCCTTAGATCCAGTCTAAATCTGCCTTCCCTTAGTTTAAAGCCATTACTCCTTGTCCTGTCACAACAGGCCCTGCCCAAAATATTTTCCCCATCTGTCCTAAAGGCCCCTTCAGGTACTGGAAGGCTGCTATAAGGTCTCTCCACAGCCAGCTCTTCTCTAGGCTGAACAAGCCCAGCTCTCTCCCTTGGATCCAGTCTAAATCTGCCTTCCCTTAGTTTAAAGCCATTACTCCTTGTCCTGTCACAACAGGCCCTGCCCAAAATATTTTCCCCATCTGTCCTAAAGGCCCCTTCAGGTACTGGAAGGCTGCTATAAGGTCTCTCCACAGCCAGCTCTTCTCTAGGCTGAACAAGCCCAGCTCTCTCAGCCTTTCCTCATAGGAGAGGTGTTCCAGCCCTCGGACCATCTTTGTGGCCTCCTCTGGACCCGCTCCAACCTGCAACCATGTTCTCCGCTGCACTGGGGTTCATCACCATGAGGGGAGAACTCCAGTTCCACTGGCTCCGTGTGCAGCCATCTCCTGGCTGAGCGGGGAGGACAACCTGCTGCCTCTCACCCATCTAAATTTCTGCTGCAAGCACACAGTATCACAGCCATATGTGACACGTGTGAGCAAAGGGGTGTCCCTCTCCTGCACTCTCGTGGATTTGATCGGGTTTTCTTCTGCCCGTCATCCCATTGGCACCAGAAAAGAAGACAATTTAGGTCCGTTTGACTAGTCAGCCTAAAAAATACAAATATCACCCCTGCTATATACTGTCTAATTATTATTATTTCTTTTTCCTGCTTGTTTTAGTATTAAAGCAATAGGATGAGAGGAAATAGCTTGAAGTTGTGCCTAGGGAGGTTTAGATTGGATATTCGGAAAAATTTCTTTACTGAAAGAATGGTCAGGCATTGGAGCAGGCTGCCCAGGAAGGTGGAGGAGTCCCCATCCCTGGAGGTGTTCAAACAACGTGTAGATGTGGCACTCTGGGATATGGTTTAGCAGGCATGGTGGTGTTGGGTGGATGGTTGGACTTGATGATCTTAGAAGTCTTTTCCAACCTTAATGATTCTACAATTTGCCCTGACATAGACTACTCTCAGTTTTCTCTCCCTGCTCCGTGTCCACGCTTTAATAATTCATCATCATAATTCTTGTTTTTCCTTGCCCATACTGCACTTAAGTCATACTTTCAAATTCCTTCCTCACTTTCTCCTGCTCCTTATTAAGAGCTCTTACCAGACCACCTACCGTAGTGCCATATCCTGGCCTGCTCGGGAGCAGTGGTCCCCAGCGGCTGCTCAGAATTCTGGACCAGCCCTCTCCATGAGTTCCTCTTGTCCCCTGCTCCCTAGGGATGGCAGCCAATGTGACACTCCAGATAGCCCCAAAACTATGGCAGGAATTGCACTTAGACGAAGACCACCAGCTGACAGTTCATTAGACCCCTGGCATTAATTTCTCCAATGGTTATAGAGAAGGAGCAACAGTTGCCTAAAGCGGTTGGGTCTGGGTTTCACACTCTGTCACAGGAGCATAGAAGATGCCTCGACAAAGTCTCTCACATTCCCACCCTGGGTGAGCGGTGCTGCAACCCTTGCAGATGGTGAAGCAGATCAACCGAGAAACCTTTTCCTTTTACAAACATTTCTTTTGTCTGGTTTTGTTTTCCTCCTCTGCCCAAGAAGAAAACTGACCATGTGCAGGAGCACTGAGGACGGCCATGATTATGGCTGTGAGGTGTAGCTCCTCTGAGTGCTTTCCAGGGGAACCCCCAGAGTATCCCTTGCATTTCTTCATATGTAACAGCCAGAAGATGTACCAGGGAATTACACAATTTTCGCTGACAAATTTAAGTCCCTTTCCTTGTCCCCATCTATTTCACTGACAGCACTCAGAGCAAGCCAAGGAGGACTGGTGGTGTTGGGTTGATGGTTGGATTTCATGATCTTAGAGGTCTTTTCCAACCTTAATGAGTCTATGATTCCGTGAAAACAGACTCCTTCCCCTCTTCCCACCACAGCACGTCCTTATGCTCCAGCTCGGCTTACTGCGGCTCCTGGGAACGAATCCTCAATGGGCTGCTCACCGTTAGACAACCTCTACAGCACTTGTCAGCATCAGCTCCAGACGAGCCAAGTCACATCTAATTTGCAGTGCTTCTTTGGTGCTATCATGACACTGCCGAGGCGAAAGCTCTCCCCAGTCACGTCGTGGGCTCAGCTGCTTCCCCAGCAATGTCAAACGCAGGCGGCAGCGTGCCCTTCCATCGCCCGCCAAACACCCAGCACATATTTATTCGCAGCTAGAGGTGCAAAGGCACAGCCATTTCCATCATTGCTGCGGCCAGCTGGGTCAGGAAACCTATTTCTTTCACGACTGAGCCGTTAATTTTCAGGCTCAGCCTAAGCTCGGGCTAGCGCTGCTGCTCAGTAACGACTGAAGCAGGCACGCCTGGGGTTGCTGACGACGGACTCTTCTCTGCACGTTCATGGTTAGAAGCAGGACAGAAATTGTTCCTGAGAAGTTGGGAAAGTGCGCTGGGATGGGTACAGGGTGAGGGAACCAGACAATGTCAGCAGACCAGCGTCGATACAGCCAGAGGTGCGTGAAATCCCTCCTCATCCTGCTTTAACCGAAATGCAAACGGCCTTTCGCTCTTACGCTCCTTGCTGGGGAAAGACCCCCAGCTTTCCACATACATCCCTTTTGTCTCTCTCAAATAAAGAAAAAAATCAAAAATCCCCCTCCTTTTTCAAACAGCTTACAGCTATCCACTAGCCAGCAGAGGGTTAAAACACCCCACGAGCACGATAGGGAAGAGCCGAACATCCTCTCTTCAGTGGTTTGGGCAAGGAGTAGAATAGAAGGCTCAATTATTGCTTTAAAAATATGACAGGAAACTTTCATTTTCACATCCCATTCACAGATAATGAAAATGTACCATGGAGAAGGAAAATCTGACAGCATTAATGAGAGGACATTCTAGAAAATCAGAAACAATGGGAAGGAATGGGCAGAGAGACAGAAATAATTACCACAGCAGCAGTGTTTGCTGCACTGTTATTAAGGTTTGTCAGAGTTTCAGTGATTTTTTTTTTAAAGTCCTTTTTTTTTTTTTTTCAGAATATGTAAAAATGTTCTGTGTTGAACTTCTGTACAAAAGAGTTTAGTTATAATTTTTTAGAATAACTTCAGCAAAAATATTTCCGATTCCTACATTATGAGTCCAAATCTTAACTCTGGCTTTCTTATATTTTTTTTAACCAGAAACTTGGTGCTCACCCATCTGTACTCAAAAGCAACTTTTTCTTTTAGAAATGCATTTTTATGCAGCTGTAGAAATGATTACCCTAAAGTCAAGTTGGCTAGTGAGTGTGGGCTGCCTTGAGCAAAGCCTGGTATCTCTGAAGGTGATGGAAGCAGATGCTCAGCTGAGTTACAGGAACCTGGGAGGAGACGTGACCTGACAATGGTGCTGGGACACTACAAAAAACCAGGACTCCTTGGCTCTGTCGCCAGATCACTGCCTCAGTGTATGGCCTTGGGCAAATCACTTAATACTGCTCCTCACTTTACCCACTTACAAGCTGTGTAAGCTGCCTCACCCTCCGAGCCGTGCTGGGGTGCAGTTAATAACTGTAATGTGGAGATCCTCAGAAGCAATACTTAAGTACAAAAAAAAAAAAATTATTTTATAGTAACAAAATAAGTTGGTATGAAAATTCTCTTCATGTGCAAGTCTAATCGGTTCTCAGTTCAACAAGCTCTCAGGTTTGCAGTGTGTGCACTGGGTGTCTCTGAGGAGTAAAACCCCAGTCCGACCCTTTTGAGACTGGAGGGCCTGGGAGAAACAGGGCATGTTTAGGGCAGAGTCTGGTGGGTGGGAAGCCAGGCAGAAGGAAAAATTGCCCCAAAGTACTGCTGAATGGAGGGACAGGAAGGTCTTGGAATGGAAAGAAAATGGAAAGAAATGCTCTTCTTGTGTCTGAGACGAAGATAGATGGGCAGGGGGAAGAGGAGAAAAGCAGCAGAACTGGCATGAGATAATACAAGAACTCCTCCTGCTTTATGACAACACAGAAAAAGAACCAGCTTATTTAACTTTGTCTACCTTCAGCATAGCTGCCGTGCCTTGAGGCTCTTTTAAGCACACCACAGTATTTGATGTTGGCATTGTAGTCAGCCCAAGCAAATGACGTAATACTTTAACTCAATGCTTAGCATAAAACTGCATATTTTTCTTATTGTTTTCATATATTGCACCTTTTCACATTCATGAATAAGTATTTTACTTCCGTACTTTACCTCTACTATGAACCATCCTTCCTCGGCCACGAGAGTTAGAGGAGACACAAATTTTCCTTTTTTGTAGAAAAACCTGTCTGGAATATCCTCTTTGTTATAAACGTGCATGTGTTCCACAGTTCTCAGTTTCTGATATATCTGCAAAGAAAACAAATGTTGGGACACCATTTGGCTGCAAGGAGCGTACCTGTCGAACAGCTAACCCCCTTTAATGGCTAATCATCGGCACGCCCAAACCGGGGCTGTACCAGCCCAGAGATGATGACTGCGCAAAACCTGATGATGGGGTTTAGGAGATTCTGAAAACCTGATCATAAACACATAGGAATGCATGAATTAAGGCATCTGCCCCTTTACTCCACTCTGGTGAGACCCCCACCTGGAGTACTGCGTCCAGCTCTGGAGCCCCCAACATAAGAAGGACATGGATGTGTTGGTGTGGGTCCAGAGAAGGGCCACAAAGGTGATAAGAGGGCTGGAGCACCTCTCCTGCAAGGACAGGCTGAGGGAGTTGGGGCTGTTCAGCCTGCAGAAGAGAAGGCTCCGGGGTGACCTTCTAGCAGCCTTCCGGTACCTGATGGGGCCTACAGGAAGGATGGAGAGGGATTTTTCACCAAGGTGTGTAGTGATAGGACAAGGGGAATGGCTGTAAACTAGAAGAGGGCAGATTTAGATTAGATACTAGGAAGAAATTCTTCACCATGAGGGCAGCGAAACACTGGAACAGGTTGCCCAGAGAAGCTGTGGCTGCCCCCTCCCTGGCAGTGTTCAAGGCCAGGTTGGATGGAGCTCTGAGCAGCCTGGTCTGGTGGAAGCTGTCCCTGATCATGGCAGGGGGGTTGGAACCAGATGATCTTTAAGGTCCCTTCCAACCCGAACCATTCTATGATTCTATGATTCTGTGATTTATAATCCATGGACTCACAAATGTGCGCATGTGAGTATATCAGCCTACAGAGACAGAGCAGCAGACACCCAATCATCACATCTCCAAGAGATGGAGGCTGCTCAAAGGCCTCGGTACAGACACGGTCAAGGGATATTGCCTTGACATTGCCTTCGGCCTCTGCCACTAGCTCCCTCTTTGTTCTCTTGAATGAACAATTAATGTCACATCTCTGTGTTTCTTACACTTAGCCGGTCAATCCCTACCAAAGGGATTGATGGCGCTTAGTGCTCTGCTTCATAAGGATGCTGTGAGATTAATCAGCCAATGTCTCCAGCTCTGAGGCTGCACAACGCCTTACAAGTGGTTTATTAATATTAATCATACCATCTGGAATATCATCACACAAATGTGGTTAAACTCCAAATTATTCAGAAAACTATTTTCAATGCCTAAAGAAGATGTTCATATGCCACAGAGAAGGCGGTTATTGGAGTCCCCAGAGCTTCTATCACTCTTTTGCTTAAATATAAATAACCTTCAGGAATAAATAGCAAAGAATGCAACAAGAATGAAAGGTCCTCCACTAGCCTTTTAGCAAAGTCCCCCCTGCACGTGTGATGTGTGTATACTGATAAGCAGTGGCCGTAAGGGGGGCACCAGGGTGGGCTCAGCCTGGCCCTCTCACCATGACCTGGACTAGAGAGTGGGCCCGATGTTTCACGAGTACTTGTGGTGCTTCAGAATGGGACAGCTCATGCATGTGATACCACCATGTTCTGACACAATCTAATTGCTAAACGTGGCTCTTTAATGTGCATGAAGGACAGAGGAACCTGGCTATTGGGAAAGAAAATTGACTTTGTTTTGCTTAAAAAAGCAGCACTCCAGTAAGAAGTCCTAAAAAGAAATGAAGGAAGAAAACAAAACCATGCCGTGAGGCATTGTGCTTTATTCTCCTTAGAGATCTTAGGTTGTTTAATGAGAGAGAAGAGTGTGCTTAAGAGCTTTGTCGGATGAAACCCCATGTCTATGTGAAGTTGCAGCTCACACTTGCCCTTGTGTGAAGGTCTGGCCTACAAAAATAGTGATCTCTGAGTTAAGGCCGAGAAGAGCATATATAAACACTGTGATCCCCTGCAGGAACTTTGAGTGATAGGCTTGTGGGTGCCTCTACGACAGCTTTCAGTTCCAGCACTAATTTGAAATACTCACAATATCACAGCTATACAATTCCTGGAGAGCCTGTTGGGGTGCAAAAATTAGCAAATATTCTCTTTAATAAAATTGCACAAGCTACAATATACTGGAACTTGCTAAAACATAATATAGAAAATAAAATTATTCATGTGGAGCATGGACTGCCAATTTTGTACATCCACTCATCTATATTCTGAAGACAGCAATAAGGACTTCTCAAGCATTGGTTTCTGGGTAAACTATAATGTACCAGTCTATTAGTTACAGATGCTGCATTTTCATTCTTTTCAAGTGGTTTCCAAATTTTTTTCTGTATTGTTTTACTTTGTCACTCAAAATCCTGCAGTTCTAGCCTTGGGCTTTTATGGTTGATTCACTCCAACATGCTTATTCATCAAAATTCTTCAAAGGAGAACATTGTAAGAAATGTATTTTTCGTACTTCTGGTCTAACAGAGTTAATTCCTCAAACTCTGTGGGAGTTTACTGGAGTAGAAATGCCTGACCTCCTCCAGATCATTTGAAAATCCCAGCTAGAGTGTCAATAAATTGACTTTTATCTCTATATAAAAAATCCTCAAAATGGATTTTGAGCTAAAATCTTTTAACTATTTATCAGAAGCACATAGTGGTGGGGTTTGAAAGCACTTATCTGTGGCAAATAAAGGTGAAGGATCATGCTTTTTAATTTGCCTAGTGTGACTTTTCCTTCAACATCACCAGAGTGTCACAAGATCCAAGTGTGACTCCTGGTAAGACCCTCAGGCTGATTTTTACACACATCCCTGAGAGCGGAATTTGGATGTTATGAGCAAACAAAAGACACAATTGTCATAAAAAACAAGGAAACACAAGACCAAATAAATACAAATAAACTGTACTTACCTCCTCTTGCTTCTCTGGAGCTGGCCAGAGGCTCACAACAGGACCTCGGTCCTTCATTTGTATGGTATCACTCATATTGATGTAGTTTTTCAGCTCAATCACTTTGTCCGCCCAAGAGATGTCTGTCATCCCGTGATCGGAGAACAGGAGGACGTTGAGGTCATGCTGAAGGCCCTTGCTCTGTAAAGCGAGCACATGACAGCCGTTGCGGCCAGGTAAGTGTTTTGCACTGTCTGTGCCTACCGATAATTTTTAAAACCCACTAAACATCCACTCATTTAGTGGAAGTTGGCCAGAAGGAGCACAGCCACAAATGCCCTCTGGTGTGCTTTGCCACCACCCATAATGGTGGACGTCCACTTGCTGCCCTGGAAGAGTCTGAAGTTAGTGCCAAAGAGAGGTTTGCCAAAATCAATCCACCCTTCTGCTAAATAACCAGATGCTACACCCCAGTCCCACAAACCAGTTGTCCCAGTTGGTCTTAGACAGGATTTTATCCCACTGTTCTTCATCTGTAGGCAAAGATGGCTGGGGAAGAGCAACTTTGACATGTTACCAGTTGTGGCGGGGGTGTTTCCCTCTTCTCCTCCCAAACACCATCACTTAGCATTAGAGCTTTTATAATTTAGTGAAACTGGAAATACATTTTCCTCTCCTCACTGAAACACATGAAAAACTCTAATGTGAATTTATCGTTGCCAGAAATATTCATAGAATTGACATTTAGCCAGAAGCTCCTCCTTTTCTCACTGCAAAATCATTTAGATAATGTTTTTTAAAACAAAGTTTAAAGTACAGAGTTCTGAGTGGTGCCATAAAGACCACTATAAAAGTTAATTGTCTGATTCCACAAACCTTAGGAAGCGAGCGGTTTTGATTCGTTCGCCTACTATAAATCCCAGCCAGCAACACCAGTTATAAACAGAGCAAACACGTATATTGGTTTATGGCTTCCTGGGGCTATCGGTACAATAATCCACTAGGAGGATTATAACGCCACCGACGCAAATAAAAATCAGGGGAATGCTGCCTTGATTACCATGTGATCTCGGTAGCCTCTGCTTCTCAGGACATAAAAGTTTATAGCCAACGCATCCAATTAACAGGCATTCAATAGGCTCTTGGCAGTCCCACAAAATACAGTTCTAGAAGCCTTTTCCAAACGCACCCAGGAGCTGGGTTTTCGGATGCCACTCACCTTGATGAGCGCGATCATGTTGCTCAAGGCTTTGTCCACCTCCTGCAGAGCGCTCTTCAAAAAAAGCTCTTCCGCTGCTGGGAGGAAGGGCCGTAGTGGTGGCCTTCCACATCGATGCGCTCGTAGTACACTGCGGCCATCTCAGCACTGCCATTGCTGGAGGTGGGAGGGAGGGGGAAGCAATAAGAGGCCGATGCACATGGGGACCTCCTGGCTGCCGGTGCTATTGTCCTCACCGGCACATAATGCCACAAAACCCCATTTTCTGCTTCCAGCCTGTGCTTTCCTATCTGCTGTGGCACAGACAGGCTCGTTATTCATGCCCAGAGTCTCCTGACTTTGCTTGAGACTCCCATCAGAGGTGCCAGGTAGAGAATGCCATGTGCAAGCACCGGCTGTCCTGGCAGCCCCCTACTACCTCTTCAAATTAGGAAGGCAGCTTTTCCTTTAATGACAAAGAAAGATCCAGAACAAATACTAATTTCTGTGCTGAATGCCCTTATTAAAAGGATTGTGGGAATTACCAGTTAAATGTGCTTTAATTAAAGTTTGGCACTTCTGGCTTTCTCCTGTGTGAGGTCTTCCAAGCTACCGAGGTCAGCTCAGGACAGGCTCTTCCATGACCTTGCAACATCCTGAGTGGTATGAATTGGGGTGAGATTTTAGATGGGAGTTTTATTCAGGAATATGACCAAAGGGAAACTAAGGTAATCTCGGTGTTGCACAAGTTTAGCTGATCACACGTTTCTGCCCTGAATGCCCTCAGCCTAATTAGTGGGGATTGCACATACATCAGTGCTTAATTACATTTTCATGACCACTTTGCAGTTCACTGTAAAGCTTCCTGAAAGCAGTCATGTGGATAAAATCGCGAATCTATGCTCATGAAGTTCAAACCCAGTCTTTTTCTACCATACTTAATATATGACTATGACAGGGTGTGCCACCCATAATACATGCCCTCATCCAGATCAAGATCCCTACAAAAAGACTTTGTGTGATGTCCTGACAGGTCCAGCTCCTCTGATTAAAGACATTCAAGTAGTCTGGTGTAATGAGGGAGACAGAAGAGGAGAAAAATCAGAGGTGAGAGACTGAATGAATGAATTAGGGTCTGCTATTTGCATTTGTAAGCTTGCTGAAGGCCTCAGAGGAGCAGTCCTGCAGGAAGCTGAAGGTCTCTGCCATGGTGGGAATTTCTCCACTGCTGGCCCTGCAGAACAGTGTTCTTTCTCACTCTTCATGATTTTAAAACCATTCAAATGAAGCAGCCCTTCCTCCACCCAGTTCATTTTAAGCATTACTTTCCATCCATATTATGCATAAATTCATTTCTAAAATTTAACCCTGTAATTTCTATGTTACTTACACACTCGTTGAACCTATTGAAACAGGTTTTTTCTCCTGCAGAACCTGTATTAATTAGCTACTTGGATTGCTTTGTGTCTTCTCACCTGTAACTAAATGATCATTTCGATAAAGATGAGAGCTATGAAAGAGATTTATTGCAAAAAACAAATGGTCTTATTTAGGCTGTGGTGAGATTTCTCAGTGAGGGCTCAGTGCTGTAAAGATAAATGTTCAACTTGGCACATGACTTCCAGGGGACAAGCCCCGGTTATGCGGTGTGCTTAGGAGTTTGCAGGATTGGGTACAGCGCATCCAACACTTGTAAGACTGAGCTTGTCTTTGTTTCCATTTCTTGCCTGTGTTCCTAAGAAAACTAGGCATCTCTGATCATGGCTTGCACGGGAGAAGTAATCTCTCTTTCTGACTGTGTGTTAGTCCTGTCTTCTCCCATAACCAGTAACTTGCAAAAGAAATGGCTAAGAAAAGCTCACTGAAGAAAGCTGGACGACATCAATGGCAATACCAAAGGGGTTTTAGATTTTACAAACATACTTTGCAAGTACCACGCAAACTTCGTGACACCTGTCCGGGAAGGCAGGTGGATTAGAACAGCCCCTAAATGATAGCCATGGAAAAGACATAAGGGAGGTTTTAGTTTTACTTGCCAAAAATGGGTGCTGGACTTAGTTTTGAGAATTTTTGGTCTAAATAATGGTCTCAAAGCACCTGTTTGAAGGGACCGGAGAACACTCCTGAAGGATGGTTTCCTTTGGTTGCAAGAGGAGCTCAGTGTCTCCTAGATGAGTCAGGTCCTCCCGCCCTTGAAGAGGGCATTGATAAAACTCCTTTCAACCCTAGCGAAGGTAAGATGGGTCAGGACGTTCTGGTGCCCAAACTCAAGCTAACCCATAGGTCACCATGCCACAACAAAGGGCTTTCTCTCCCCTGAAGTCCTTGTAAGGTTTGCTAATGCTGGGAGCGCAAGTGGAGTTCCTTAGCTACCAACACCTGCCATTAGGGTAACTGAGCAAGGCACTGCTCCGGGGGACAGACTGCTCTTGCCACAGGCTGTTTTCCCACAGAAAGCCAGCGCCAGCCTCACCCTAATGGGCTTTTCCAATTAGCTGGGGTGTGGAAAGCAAACACACTGGATTTGCCAGCCTTTGAACAGCATCAAGAGTCAGAAGCTCTTGCAGAAGACGCAGATGGCAATAAAACGCAGTTCAAGACTCTTCTACCCAGCGATGCTAACTCCTGCTAAATGAATATGCCTACAATAAAGGCATTTCAGAGGTTTTACTTCTTATGGACTGGCCTAGCAGCACTGAAAATTGTGTACTAAATTTGAAAGGACTAAACAGAGGATGCTGATGACACCAAACTGGGAGGTGTGGTAGATACACCAGAAGGCTGTGCTGCCATTCAGCGTGACCTGGATAGGCTGGAAAGCTGGGCAGAGAGGAACCTGATGAGGTTCAACAAGGGCAAGTGCAGGGCCCTGCACCTGGGGAGGAACAACCTCATGCACCAGTACAGGCTTGGGGTGGACCTGCTGGAGAGCAGCTCTGCGGAGAGGGACCTGGGTGTCCTGGTGGACGACAGGTTAACCATGAGCCAGCAGTGTGCCCTGGCTGCCAAGAAAGCCAATGGGATCCTGGGGTGCATCAAGAAGAGTGTGGCCAGCAGGTTGAGGGAGGTTCTCCTTCCCCTCTACACTGCCCTGGTGAGGCCTCATCTGGAGTACTGTGTCCAGTTCTGGGCTCCCCAGTTCACGAAGGGTGAAGACATACT